CAACTCCAACATTGGACAGATTCTTAATATTAAACATATTCAATTGTGTGTATGCTAAGAGGAGCCACACACAAAATACGTAAATAGTTAAATAAAAATTGCTAATAAAACTTCAAATTAATTTTGTGGCACTAATATCTGCCATTCAAACTCTGGATTATGTGAAAATTATTGATTTGGGGTGAATCCCAATTCCCTGAACTGTTTCCCTGTGTCTTTTCTTGCATCTCAGTACCACCCACGCAAGATGTGAGGAAACAGTGCAAAGAGAGGAATCAAGAAAACACTTTTAGAGATGAGACGTCCTTTTTGCCAATCCATCACAAACTGATTTTCAATAAAGGAGCATGTTGGCACCCCAAAACATTTTCACAAAGCTTGCTCTCATTTATCCTCAATCCTTGCATCTTTTGGACATCCTCCAGAATGGTGGACTGGAACCGCTTCACAGTCAAGGGAGGATCAAGGAGCGAGGATTGATAAAATAAAGGAATTTGGATTTGCCCCTAATAAATACCTCATAGAAAACAAGGATTTGCAGATACTATTTGATGTGAGTCTATGTAGATAAAAGAACTGGCACTGACTGCAGAAACTACACATATCATATCAAAGTGCACTAGTTTTTTTGTAATAGTTCCCCTGCTTACATTCCACTCACTTAACCCCTTCGTCCCCATCAGAGACCCTGTTTCTTTTCTCGCTGGTGCTAAATGAACAACAGTCAGCCATTACGACGACACAACACATGAGATCTGGTTGGCTCTGTGTTTTTCTCTCCTTGCCATCACACTTGTCGCTTCATGCCATTGGTCCACCAGCCAATAACTCCCACCCATCCTGCTGCAGTCCCTGCAATGTGATTTGAGGAGATAGGTGCTACTCAAAATGCACCTGCCTGATAGAATGATACCATTGACTGTATACAAAAACCCCTGAAGAGGGGTTTTGAAGCTCAAGTCTGGCCGCCACCATATTAATAGTGCTTCACTCTGCCTCCTATAGCTAATCCAAAAATGGATAAAGAGGTGGAGTGTGAGTGGAGCTCGCTAGACAGCTAGTGGCTAACCACCTATGGTAGTACCCTCCTGCCTGTTACTCGAAGCGGCCACCACCTTAATTAAGGCAGCCATGTTAGTCTTAATATAGAGAATGTGAGGGTATGTTACTCTGTTGAATGTTTGGAGAGGGGCGCCATTTTGGGAGATACCTGCTGTATTGACCTGCATACTCTACTTTTTTTTTGTTTTGTTTTTTGGCTAAAAAGTTACTCAAATTGTTTAGCTCTCACTTTACTGACTGGTATTTCAGAATGGATAACCTTAACTGACTGTAGCTAACTCGTAGCAGACATAGATATCCCATTGACAAGGGCGATCTGGAAAAAAAAAGACTGCACCCTGATCTCAGCTCTCAATTTGGGAGCTAAGACTAGTTAGCAGCTGTTGGCAGATGACACAGACATTGTAAATGAATTCATTTGTGTCCTGTCTGTGCTCAAACTGAACAATAAAGTGGATGTCTGGACGTAATTGACGTATTTACTACTGTGTGTAGCTGTCTGGATAGTATATTTTTTTAACTTACAGATGTATGTAGTGTAGATCTCTATGATGGATAATGAGCGTGATTTTCCAAAATGGTGCATTTACTCAAAATGCAACATGGCATGACAACCTATACCTTAAATGGGTGAGTTATATAAAAATTCACCAGAAGAACTGCAGGTTTTGATACTTCCGCATTGGCTTAATTTCTCAGCTTCAAGGGTTGCTGCTTGGTGGAGACAGGGATCTTGAGAGACAAAAGCATGACTGAGATGAAACTGTGCTGCTGTTTCAGGAAGGTTTTTATGTGGAAGTCACGTTAGGAAGGTTGGATAACATAAATGCAAGTCTCAGTTAATGTATTAACCCTGCATCTATGTTGATGCTGTACTGAGCTAACAAAAAGCTTAAAAAGACCATTAAATCACTTCTACCATAAACCAGAATGCAGCTCTAGTCCAAGATTTTAAATGAAATTTACTGTCAGGGGTTGGGACTTCTCAGGGGGCAATGAAATAATTCGGGAGGTATTTGAGATGGTTTACAAACAGGAGAAATATGCTACTGCTATACAAATGCACTCACATATTTATTTTTGCACTATATATGTTGTTTTCTGCTGAAATATTGACCTTTTCGAGGCTCTCAGCCTCTGCTGATAACAAATCACAGAATTAAAATCAAAAATGAAACTATTCACCTCTTAACTCGAGTAGCCTGTGGGGTAGCTTCATTTTAGGTAGGCACCTGCCAGTTCTTTATTGTCAAAGAGCTGGGCGTAGTAATTCGAAAGCTGATTAAAGAATAAAAGTTAAATTAACTGTTCAGATAAAAACAACTCCATTGTGTTTTGGGGTTTTTGTTTCCTTAAAGTGCAGGTGAACAGAAAGTTATGCATCAGTGAATGATATACCATGAACATAATGAGCAGTACTGGTACCTGTGTAGATTTGTACACATCAGAAATGCACCACTTTACCATTTCCACTAAGTTTTTACAGACATGAGAATCACGAAATGTGAGGAGACATGTGGATGTGTGCTAATTCTTATAAATGCTACAGCAGTCTTTTCTCAAACGAATGATGACAGTCCCCAACTTAGTACTCAGGTTTAAAGTTAAAAAATTTTGATCGCTATGTAAAACAAAATCATTTTAGTTAAAAGGTCCACATACCTGATTAACTAATGTTGCCTTTGGTCATTTGCCATCATCACATGTGGACCTCTGACAGGGCAGTTAACACTAACTAGAATCACACTTCTCTCTAATGCTGGACAAACAGCACTGAGTAGTCTGTGTATTTGAAAATATTTAACCCTGTAAAGCCTGACACATCAAAAAATACCCAGAACATTCCAGTTTTTTGGAACTGAGAAGTTTTATTTAACCTTTTAACAAAATCCAAAAGAAAATTCAAGATTCAGGATTTTTACTTGCCATTTATGCACAGACAGACAGTCCAGGCATATAGGAATAAATGTGCCATATTGGTTTGTTTATTTTTTATTTTTTGTATCACATTTGATACATGGGGCATTTTTGGCAACTTTCTTTGCTTACACACACGCGTGGCAAATATGATACACATGGTTTTATAGGGTTAATTTGGGGGTCATGCTCACTTTCCCATCAGTCCTCATTGACATTTTTTGGGTATGGATTGTTATACGTATATGGATCTCAAAACATCACAGGTTTTCTCATAGATGTTTAATTTGTGTATTCCATCATGAATCTGAGCATTATTTTGAGCCAAGCCTTTGAGCCAATCACGTGCAGCTACTATTTATTAACACTTCTCTAATACTTTGATTCATCAACATCAAAAAATGTTTTCTCTTACATATTTAGCAATTAAAGAGGCTTTTTTCATTTTTCCTGTGTTGATTGAATTTGACTTTTATCTCACCTTCTGAGGATAGTATAGTAAATAAATATGAAAAATAATTTGATGCTATTTATTGAGTTTCGCCACTGGTCACTGCAGCTTGAGAAAATATTGTGATGGATGTCAGACTTGATCCCACCTACTATTCTTTTTTCTTAGAATGTGGTTCCCAAGCAAATGTCATAATGTATAAATGTCAAAATTTAAATCTTATACTTTGTGTAGTTTTTATATAAATCGTACATGTGCCCAACCAAAATGCTGGCTGAAAGAATTCACCCTGAAATCTGACTTTACATGTTCCTGCTGTGATGTGGGCCAATGAGGGCCCTCTCCTTGTGTTTCAGGAAAACAGATCCTGCCTGATATTCCAAACTGCTGTAAACAATGTGTATAAGTTTAGCTAGCAGCATAATCTGCTAAATAGCTAGAGGATGAGCTAAATCTGCACAGTATGTGATTCCTTCTTCAGATACGTTGTGGTTCATGACAACTGTAAACTGTGGCAGGCTGCACACCACAACTTTATTGAAAGTAAAGGTATCTTCCACTTGATTAACTAGTGAAGAGTTAATAAAAAGAGGCAGCATTTCTGTAACCCCTACATCACTGGAAGTTGCACCTAACAAAATATTTAATATTAAAATAATTCTGTAATAATTGAGCAGCTGTACACTATGTTAATAAAAAGGTCATCTAGGTTGTTTATGTGAATATGCAGTGACTAAAAAGCTAGTAAATGGCAGTAATTATTTTGGGATAATGTGCAAATACTCCCAAGTTAAAATCTGGAGATTTTCTTGTGTTACTGCAAAATAGTAAACATGAACAATGACAACTAGTTAGCTTACTATGGAATAAGATTTGAGACCATTTTGATTGATCAAAAATGTCTCAAAAGAAAATGAACAAAAATAAATAAATTGAAAATGAATAAAAAATCATTTCAAACATAAAGGTTACTATATTTTCCACTTTTATTTCACTGTTACTTTTTCCAGTTTTGCTGGTCAGATTTTCAATTGCATCGCTACGTTTTTTCAGTTTCTCTGCTCATTTTTTGTTTTCAATTTTTCAGTGTTGGTTTTTACACTGTCCGTTGTGGCACAACGCTCTAGTGTGGGCGGGTCTTACAGAACTGCCTCCTCATTGGCCAGCAGCTTTTCCACTGGCAGCCAAGTCCCAGGAAGTGGTGTCACTCTATTTATCTTCCGTCTTCTGTTTGGTTCTGTAATACATCAATGTGTTGAATGCAGTTACTAGAAGATAAGTGGCCAAAATACAGAAATTCCCCGATTGACTCGCTTTAAAGCAACTTTATGCAGATACAGATGCACACCGTCAATGTGGCAAGTATTTTTTGATGATGCCCGTCAATGTGGCAAGTATTTTTTGATGGTTTCTTTGGTACCCATGCTAACCGGTTAGCTTCCACAGTAACTTTAGCTGTCTAAATATACTACTGTTTACTCA